GGCTGCAGCTGGGGGGTAGGGGGTTGTTCACAGGGGACGACACCAGGGATGGGGGTTGCGGGTAGGGCAGTACCCGGGGGTAGGAGATGTCCGGGGCGGGTAGGCAGCGGTATTCCGATAGCCAAAAAGGAAAATATTTTCTTTGTGATGGTTTTTTATCGATTGTTACCTTTCCCTGGCCCCCACCCTCTTCCTCTACTTCACCGTAGTAATTTTATTTAATGACATTTAATTGGAAACTACTTTACCTTTGCTGGGACTCGAACCTCGGTCATCCGAGTTAGGAGGAACCCATCGCCTTGACCACTAGACCACGAGTTCGCCGGTAAGGGGAGCGTGTCCGATACCGGGGTCCCTCCTCGACCAGCTTCGGGGCTCTACGGGCCAGAAGATTATTACCGACGAACCGCAAGCGACCTGAAAGCGTACTGAAGTCCCCCTCTTCGCGACGCGAGCAGAAAGCACAAAGCTATATTATTTTGCGGCGGGCACAGACTGACAATGTACTGTTTTGTGCGTAGGTACGTACAACTGTCAACATACATAACCTACGTACAAAATTTGTACGTAACTATGTACAACATTGTACGTAATTATGCATAATATCGCTTAAAATTGTGCGTATATTACGTATGTGCATAGTTGTACGGAGGTATGTGTCCTCTCTCTACGAGTGCGTTCTCTCTGCGACTTTAACTCGTATGTAGACTGACGTGTCGTTGTGTCCAGCTGCCAAAGTGTGCAGTGTGCAGTCCAGAGGAGAGGAGCCGTCGGGCTCCGGGTGTCCCGGGGCCGCCCCATCGTCCCCCCTTCTGCTCTCAAGTGCGCCGGTCTAGGGATTAGCGCTAGCCCCCGGCCGGGGTTTCCTGGAGAGGAAAATACCCCGACTACCCGGGGCTCTCCAGGTGAACCGAAAGCGTACTGGAGTCGCTCTGTTCGTCTCGGAGCGACTTGAAAACATACTCAGGTCGCTCGTCCGCGCATGGAGCGACTCGATGACGGACAAAGGTCGCTCCGGCGCTAACCTCCGGCGAATCTTGGCGATACGTCGCCCAGGAGCCTGACGAACCTCGGCGACCCATCGGCGCACCGAGCGCGACCCTCCGCGAACCGATAGCGTACCGAAAGCGTACCAAAAGCAAACAAATCTTTTTGCGTCGGGGTCATTCAATTTCTTCTTCTATAATCTATTCTAAATTAGTCATTCAATTTCTTCTTCTATAATCTATTCTCAAAGTACCATTTACCCGTTTAAATGTGATCATTTGTGAATCAGATTTTCATTTAGTTTGTGCCGAGCGAAGCATTGGCTCTTAATTTTATGTAGAATATAAGAGACTATACTTGTAAAGGTACATTATATATGTATTCATATTTATACATTTAAGTTGTTTTCTATGACATTACACTGTAAAGTTCTTTTGCTCTCCTAATTTGTGTTAACTGAGGAGGCAGGGAAAATTGTGTTCAATGTTCACTTCTTTGTTAATTGAAATCCAATTTTATTTTGCACTATTTCATAAAGAATAATTTTCACATGCTCAAGACTTTGTTCTGTTGCAACCGACCCCAAACAATTTTATTTATTAATCTAGAATATCTAACTAGAATATCTAATAATTATCACATAAGTGGACTGGAAGGAGCCATTCAGGGGCATAGGGTTAACACCTTGATTTTACCACGAATGTAATTTTGGTCCAAGAATCATGTAATGACACATATTTCGGGAAGACGTCAAATTTCAGCCGGTTGAGGCAGAACATCATGCATCATAAAATTCCTCTTCTCAATACCTTGGCCTTGTGCTTCATTCAGTAAGAAGTCATTGTCAAACTCTTCGATAAAATCCTCATCATCATCTATAAAGTCTTCAAGACCCAGCATCTCATTGTTATGGATTGGTACCTCAAGGCCATGTACTTCCTGCACAGAAGTTAAGGATTATCAGAATTAAAAGTGGAGGAAACAATTTAATGAAAATGGAAGCCATAGCACTTGCCTCAAATAAAGGTTCACCATTCAGGACCGTGAAGTTGTGTAATACAAATGAGGCCGTGATGTGATCCACCACATTGAGGGGATTCCTTGCATGCAAAAACTTCTCCATTTGCCTTTTGCTCTGCCAAATGCGTTCTCAACACGTACACGACACTGAGATAATTTTCTATTAAAATTAAATTGTTGAGGCGTTAGGTGACCATTGTTTGGAAATGGAATCATCATCTATGCAGCGTAGATAAACAGAGTTAAAATACTAAAAAAACAACTTCAAACAAGATGCCATATATACCAGAACTTACGAATTCAGTAAGAGTATAGCCACCATCTCCTACTAAGTGCTGATCAGGAGCCATGAGTTCATCTCGTCTTCTTAGCAGATCTTCATAAAGGGAACTCTTCCTGAAGACCGATATTATGGACACGTATCGTGCGCATAAATGGCACAGAAATTATTGGCACGCGGATTAGCGTGAGCATAACAGAGTTAATGTTATGTGCACGCGCGGAATTCGAGCGTCCAGTGGAACAAGGGGGGTTGATAGATGAAGAGGCTGATTCAAGAAGACTGGCCCTCAAAGTTTGTTTAGGAGGTTTGGGTTCGAGTCAAAGTGTTGTCAGGGGAAAAGTGCGTTCGAGTAACGTAATTGCAACATTCTGCACGAGGCGTGCGCACAGTAAAACATAGAAAAGCTGCACGACGCGTTTGAATAACTCTAAAACTACTGTTATGCGCACGCGGAATCAAAATTTCCAATATGTCAACAACAACGTATGTAAGGGACTGCCTGCCTACGTCAGTTCAATATTGCATTTCTCACTCGGAACCGGAGCCTGGCGCCTGCAAGACTCGGGGTAGGCCACTCCGCAGTACACGGATGCAATGCAGACCAGATGTTGCCTATCCGCAAGGCGCTACGAGAGCTTGCATCTGTCGGTCACCTACCGACACCGACGTTTGTGGCTCCTCTGTACAGAATCGCTCTCATACATAATATTTATTGAGTTGTGGACACGGACACGCGTCGCGTCGTGTATTTTTTTTAAATACATTATTTACACGAAGCGTGTAACTTATATAATCACTTCCTAGACCTTCAAATTCAGTGTTCAAGTAGTAAA